ATGATGAAGATGATGATGAAGATGATGATGTTGACGATTTTGAATTAGAAGATGATGAAGAAGATGATATGACTACATTTGATGAAGAAATGGAAAACGAAGAAGATTGTCCATGTACTAAATATCATTAAAACGAAATCATTTTATGAGAGTTAAAAGGGGTTATCTTTAACTGGTTTAGTTTTTAATTGAAAAAAGAACAAACTAAAAAAATTAAACAATATGCAACAAGCAGATGATAACTTTATTTCTACAACATTTCCTTTGGTACCTCTAACTCCACAACAAATAAGAGAAACAGTGCTTCCATTGAGTTTGGTTGTTAGACCATTTTTACATGAGGTGCAACACATTCCAATGCAATTATTAAGAATTCCGAAATGTAAAATATGTTCTGCATATTTTTCACCATTAACCCATTGGATTTGTCCTCATTCAAGGTATTATTGCTGTGTTTGTCATCAAATAGTTGCAGACCAACCTCAACGGTTTATTGACTGTGATAGAAATAAAGAAATAATTCCAGAGTTAAATAATAATTGTGTTGAATATTCAGGGGCTCGAATCAAAGAAGAAATTAACTTTACAAATGTCTTAATAATTGATCAGTGTATTGTTAAAGACATGCAACCGTTTATACAAACAATTAAAAATTCATTTACTATTTTAATATGTTCTAATACTATATCAACTATTGTTAAAGGAACAAGTGGATATACAGAAAAAATTATTTTAAATTTAAGTGAAGATGATATACCTCAATTATGCTCAATTTATTCTCCTACTAAAGCATATAAAATTGGAGAGTGGTGTAAAAGTTATAGAGGAATTGTTTTTAAAGGTAATTATTTACTTGAAGAATGTTTAAATGTTGCGTCAAAAATTATTGGAAAATATGGGGTTATTCAGTGTTTTCATTCTCTTAATTATGAATATATGAAATCAAAATGTAATAAAAATCAGATGAAAGATTTTGGAATTGATTGTATGAAAAAAGCAATAATGATAAATCATTATTTAATTGGAACCACAAATACTATAGATTGTTCTCTTTTAAGAATTCAATCAAAATTAACAAATGGAATTTTTATATCAAATATGTTAATAGATTCTTGTTTTATTGAAAAAATTAATAGAACTATAGTTGGATATGATGGAAATATAAGAATAAGAACTCCTGATAATATTGATGTAATAAAAGCATTTGGTTGTGTTGTAGGAGATAATTTTGGAGATTGTAAAGTTGGAGTATTAACAAAAGATCTTACTGTAATATTTAAATTAAGAGAATTAGAAGAAATGGTTAAAATAAAACATCAATACCAAGTTATTATTACTTTCATTGGTATTAATGGAACAAAAAGAATAAGAGTTTTAAATTTTGGAATAACAGTTGCTCCACATATTTCAGATGCTATAAAAGCTGTTCAACCTCAAATGGTTATATTAACAATGATTAACTCAAGTTTGTTTATTTTAAATTATAGTTAATCTTTCATAATTTATTTCATAGTGGCAAATGACTATTCAAATGGAATGAATAAAAAAGATATTTTAAAGAAATATACTGATAAATTGGTTACTTTTCTATCATACATGGGAAAAAATCAACCATTTTCACAATTCTTTCATGTTCTTTTTAAAAAATTTATGGAAGTTGAAGGAGTTCAAGAACAACAACTTATTTTTTCAATGGAAAAAGTTCATCGAAATGTTATTACAACGCTTGTTCCAAAGGTTGTACTTGTAAAACCTCCAAATCAATTTTTAATTATTAGTAATGAAATTTTAGTAGTAAATTGTGAATTAATGGCTTTTTATGCTGAAGAATTAAAAAAGAAATTCGGTGTTCAGGCTATTGAAAAATCTTGGCAATTAAAATTAAATTTTATTGAATCAGTACTTCACCAAGCAGATAATTATCAAACATATTTCAATTATCTAATGTCTTTGACTTAAAATAAATGTACTTTTATAACTCTTCTTTTTTTTATTTTATTTAACCGTAACAATATAAGAAGTAAAATAAAGATTCAATGATAAAAATTGAAATTGATTTTAATTATTAAATATCTTATTATTTTATTATTATAAACCTTTCTTCCCTTCTAAAAACAATTCAACTGTTTCATTTGTATTATTGTTTATTTTCATTTTATTTTATTGTTTTATTTTCCATTACTTCATTCACTATATTTATTTTATATTTTATTTTAGTTATTCTTATCATTTGATTATTCATTTATTAATTCATATTTAATTTGTGAGTTTTTATTTACATTATAATTTATTATTATATCTTCATTTATTATTATTTTATCATTATAAATAGCACATCATTTCATTTATTATTTGATGCAATTATTAATTTGTTTATTTCATTTAAATATATTATTTTCTTACATTAATTTCATTATTTTTTTTTTTATATTCACTTCTTCTTTATATTATCATTCTTCATTATTTTATTTGTTATTTTCTTATCATTTCATTTTCATACTATCAATATTATTTCACTATAACTTCTTTGTTTATTCTCATAACCCTATTAATTAAACATTCTACTTGCGTTATGGTATTTGCAGTTATACTAATTATTTTTATTTTTATCATAAGTGTGTCTAAATGAGAATTGATTATTATGTTTATAGTTATGATAAAATGTAATAAAGTGAATATTGCTATTTATTTGGTAATGACTATGTTTATGGTGATGTTATCTACATCTATTTGTTGATGCATAATTATTTCTTGTGATTTATGCACTAAGAAAATTTTAAAATTATAAAATAATTTAAAAGGAAAAGAAGTATTAATTATTTTGAACAATTAAAAAATTGTGTAAATTAAATAGTTTTAAAGTCATTAAAATTATAGTATTTTAATTTAAAAAGAATTATCAATTAGATCAAGAATGCAATCATGAAAACAAACAATGTAATAAATATCCCTGACACTCCAGCTTCAACAGTGATTGGATTATAATAATAAGGATAATATCCAGCTGGCTCAGCAACGATGTATAATAATTGTTTTGATTGTGGATTAAATTTACCCATTCCTAATTGTAATTTTTCATCAGTATAGACTTCAGCATCAACAGTTACATCTGAAATATCATATAATAAACATAATCCCCCTGCAGAAGGATTATCTACATATGCGAGTGTTTTAAATTTATAGTCGGAAACTGAGGGTGCAATGACAGTAGTATTATCTAATCCTTTTAATAAGTCCCACATAAAAAGAACTGTTTTTCCTTCTTCATCCGAAGAAGTAGAATCTTTTTTAGTAATTGGCTTTTGTGCAACTTCAGTTACCACTTTTCCATTTATAGACTCTTTTTTTACATTAGAAACTTGTATTACACATGAACATTTAGCTTGTCCTTTAGGGTCATTAGAACATCCTGTGAATTTGACTGTTCTAAATGAAAGTTAATATTCTTTTCTTCTACTTTTAAATTAAAATCGAACAAACAGACTAGTAGCGTCTTGAGATATTTTGTTAATTACTTCCGTACCACTAGGGATATTTCCATTTAACAAAGACCCATCTGAGAAGGTTCCTTGAATTTCTATTTCATTAAACAAATTTTATTAATAAATTATAACTTCTTTTAAAACATAACAAACCAACGCCAGAATCACATCTGTTCATGTAAAAATAATTATTTGAACCTGACGGAAATGAGAAAGTTAATACTAATTCATTTCCACTGTACTCTGCTCTATAAAAAGTGTTAATTGGAACATCAGTTGCTAAACATAAGAGATTAAAACAAAAGAGAAATGGTATGAACATAAGTAACAATTAAAAATAGTAATAAAAAGTAGTTCAAACTCTGTTTTGCTTTTTTTAGCTTTTTCTTTTAAATAATTTATTAAATAATTTATTAATTTTTTAAAATAAATTATTTCTCAACTCATAACAAAATTGTATTAAAATTAATTCATATTTTTCTGACAACATCATCTTTTATCCCTTTACTTAATTAAAAATTTATTCATTTCTAACTCTTTTCAAATAACTCCTTTTAATCATTTTATGAGTTATATTTCTAAGTTAATATTGTTTAAGATAATTGTAGTATTAATTAAAAAGTTAATAATATTATTATTAATTAAAGGATGTTGATTGTTAAATAATCAAAAACATTTAACTCTTTTCAAGAATCACGAATAAATACTAATCACTATCATAAAAAGTAATATAAACACAATAAATATAAGCATTAAGAAAATAAGTAATTCCTTACTTTCTTTATGTTAAAAAAGGTGTTTAGATTAATTATCCATGAAACCAACAAAAAGTGGATAATGTTAGTGATGATGTTATTTACTTATTTGTGAACACTTTAAGAGAAGAGGAAGAGTAATATATTTTTTTAGTGATTCAATTAATATATAATTGTATTGTTTTTAACAATGACATAATAAAAATTATACAATACAAATTCAATTGAACCATGAATGAGTGAGACATTGAGCTGCACTTGCACGAGTTAATTCATTATAGTCAAGCATTGGAAGAAGAAGTGAACTTATTTGTTTTGAGTCATATTCTGAGAATTTGTATTTATCTCTTAAGACCATATCTAGTGGCCAATAAGACAGTTGGTTATTTGGTATTTTCTTAAGTCCATAGTCATTTGTAAAATATTTTCTTTTATAAGGAGAGTTGTCAATCATATTTCTTGGAATTGGTCCTAGAAGCTCAATAAATTGAGCAAAATGGTCTTCAACTTTGGAATAATGAGTTGTTTGCTTTGGAGCAAATAAAAAGTCACCGGTTAATAATTCAAAGATCATACAGGCATGAGACCAAACATCTGCAGGACATCCCCAGTGAAGTCCTAGCATAACTTCTGGACAACGGTATTGCCTAGTTTGAATATCATTTGTGAATCTTTTTTCAATCCAATTAGCATTACCAAAATCAGCTAACATAACTTTAATATTATTAGCAGGAGGAACTTGGTTTCTTCTTTTAATATGGTTATGATCAATAACAAAATTTAATAATACATTTTCTGGTTTTAGGTCAGTATGAATAAGAGAACATTTAGTATGTAAATAGTTTAATGCAACTAATACTTGTCGTGATATTTCCTTTGTTATTTCTAATGGAATGCCACGGTAATGGTATAATTTAATTAAAGATAATAAATTACTTCCTCCAACTTCAGTAACAATACACATATGAATTCCATTTAATCCTCGGTGCTGGAATGAGTCAATAAGATGTAAACAATAACATTCTCTTAATGGGTCATTATTTGAAATAGTTTTTAATATTTCTATTTCATCTCGTGCAGTTTCTGTATATTTTTGTGCACTTCTAACAACTTTTAATGCCCCTTGTTCAAATTTACCATTATTTTGAAATTCAACTAGCCAAACAGTAGAAAAATGACCCCACCCTAGTTTTGTTTTTACAATATATTTCTTATTGAAAACTTCACCAATTTCAACTTTATGATATCCTCCATAATGGTAGTCATTAATGTCTTCAACATCATCTTCTTCATCCATGTCACTAAGTGAATCATTTTCATCGTCATATGGTTCCATCACTCTGTTTTTTCTATTTAAATCTTTTTAATTTTTTTCTTTTTTAAAATAGTTTTTTGTTTTTCATTTAATATAAAACTCTCATCAAAATTTAGGTTTTTATTGTCTTTATTATAAACAATCAACTTATGTTATCCTTTAATTGAATAATAAGTTGTTGGTTTTACTTTTTTATTCTATTTTAATAGTTTTATTGTTAATATTTCTCTTACTTTATGTTTATTTCTCAAAACAATATGATAATAATTATGGAACGTTTTTTAGTTTCATTGTTTGGAATTATCCTTTTATTATCCTTTTAAACTCCCATTCTTCTATTATGCTTACAATTTAGTTTTGGTAAAATCTTTTTAGATATTATTTTCTAATATCTATCTTTGGTTTATGTATTATTATTATTTAAATTCTATAAACTAAGTCTTTTATTGTTATTAAATACTTCATTTTAACGTTAACAGTTTATATAATAATTGAGAAAAAAATAAAATTTCCATTTGAAATAAAGCAACAAAACAAACGGAAATAATATATTTTCACTATTTATATAATTCAGTTGTTAGTATCTCTAATAGTTTGGCTTTTTATACTTTTTATTTTTAAATAAAACATAATTAATAAAAATCATTTTAGTTATAATGATTCGTTTTACTATGAAACAATTTGGGTATTCATATCCATAAATTACATTTAATATTCTTTATATTCAGAGAAAGAATATCACAATATGGGTTTGTTATATAAGTTTCTTTAACAAGAGGATATTACAACCTCCACATCTGAATAATAACTTATGCAATTCATTTATTATTCCAAAAATATATTCTGCTTGTTTATTGTCAACTTTCATCTTTTTTTATTCTTCTATCTGACTCTATTAAAAATAAAAAATGATTTTGAATCATTTATACCTTTACAAAATTCATCAATTTTCTTATCGACATATCCTCCAAATATTCTTTTTTAGTACCTTCAATAACAATTATTTTATGTTCTTTATTTATTATCTTTTAATTTAATATTAGTTTGTCTTATTTCTTATTAACAATTTCTGTATCAAACATATTGAATATTTTATAATTTGTTTAATTTTTTATTATATATACTTTATTTTTCATAATTTTATCATTCCTAATTATTTTATTCTCTCTCTTTTTTTATAATAATTATCGTACATTTTCCCATGCTTCTTTCTTCTTGTTAATTTCTTGTTATAACTTTCTTAATTTTCTTTTTCTAATTTTTTATTTTTATCTTTGATACTTTTCTTTATATTTCAATGGTTGTATTTATTTATCTATCCTTTGTTTTATTCACTAATTCTCCATCACCATGATTACACTTTTCTATTGTCTCATCATTTTATTATTTTTCTTTCTTCCATATTTATTCACTCTTTTCATTTCTATCAACAATCTTCTTCTTATTACTTCATTTATTCTATCATTTATTCGTTTTACTCTTTAAATAATTTGTTTACATGTTTCATTTGGTTTTATTTCAAATATTTCAATTTTAATACAACCTAAATAATATTTATAGTTTATATTATTTTATATTATTTGTTATTTTTCTGTTATTGGTAGGTGTTAAGGCATTACTCTTACGAATAAATACAAACGAAACTAAGAAAAAGAACAACAATCAATTATGAAAATGATGTAAAATAGAAATTAAGAAGAAACAATGGTATGACTATTTTACCAGAAAATATTAAAATAGAATGAACAAACAAATAAGATAAGAATGAAATAAAGAACAGGAGATTATAATAAACTACAATTAAAGAACTGATTAATAAAGATGATTTAAAATGAATATAAAGTTGTAAAGACTATTTTAGAAGAGAAGAGATATGAAACAAAACAAAAGATGAAATACATTTATCAAAACAATCGAGAGAACTATGATATTTATACTTTTATTATTTTCTACTTAACAAACAAAAGTATTAACTATTAATCTTTGACTGTTGTATTCTCATATTTTCTTCCACAGTCAATACAATTAATTTTTATTAATTAATAATATAATATGTTGTTGTTTATGTTTTAACATAAGTCAGTGATTTCCACAAGAAGTATAAAGAAAAGCATTTATTCAAGATTATAAAAACATAAATTAAAAATAGAAAGATCACTCAAAACAACATTTATCAACATAATAATATGAAAATATTAATAAATGATATATTTGTTAGGATGGTACAAACAAAAAATAATAACAACTACAATGGTAAAAAGAAATAAATTATGATTTATTTTATAATTACTATTTCATCATAATGGGAAATAGGTGTTTCACTTTCTACAATATGTTTTATTTCTAATGAAATAATTTTTTTTTCAAATATCAACAAATTAAATAATCTTCATTTACATTGATATTTAATTTTAATTTTGATTTTATTGAATATTAAAACTCTTCATTTTTTATTTTCTTGTTTTATGTTGAATATATCAATAACATTATGACTATGTTTCAATTATCATCAATATCAACAATCATTTTTTTTCTTGATAATACTTAAATATTCAAATCAAAAGTACCATTATTAAATATACTTACATATTGATAAATAAAAACCTTATATCATAATAAATACCACCTCAATTACGAATAATAACTATTAGTAATTAATAACCAAATTGGCTTGAATGTGTATTTTCTCATCAAAGAAAAAAAGACATAAGTAAATAATGAGTGATGGTAGAATGATTTAATTTATTTTAGAATATTAAGTAATGTTTCTAATATACCATCTAATAATAAACTAGAAGACTAAGAAAAAGTTTGGACATTGAGTTTTTGTTAAAAAAAATCAAAGAAAATAAAAACAAAATTTTTATTAAATTATGAAAAAATCAAAAGTCAAAAGAAAAAGAATGAAGTTAAGAAACCCTAAAAATTAGTAATGAAAGAACTGAAAATAACATATTCAATGGCAAAGAACTCCCACAAATCAAAAGGAAATAATAAACGTACTTTCCAAAAGAAAAACACAACAAAATTAAGTGTTACTGGATTTACTGGTACATCTCAACAACTTGTAAATTGGTTAAGTAGAGCAGGTCAAAATATCAAAAAGAATATATTTGTAAATGGAAATAATGGAACATTTACTGTTTCAGTTTCACTTCCAAATCTTGTTGAACAAATTTTAAGATTAAATGGTGATAATTATGATAATTCAATTGTCTCTATTTGTGAAATGCAACAACAACCACAAGCAACATCACTTCAATCTGTAGTTAAAGAACTTATTTCAAGATGTTACACTGCAGGAGATTTCTCAATTAATTTAGATAATCTTCAACAAAAATTACAAGCACTTGGATATCAACGTAATTTTGATAATGTTGCTTTAAATAAAATTTTTGAATTAATTGCTCTTTCAAAACCAGCACTAAAAGCAGTTCATTATTGTAACAACAATTTAACTTCATTAGTTTCATTTAAAAATTTAGGTAGATTATTTCCTTCATTAATGGGTCTCGACTTAACAAATAATTCAATTAGACAAATAGATCAATTAGACCATATTAAAGATTTACCACTTGAAGTTTTAACATTATTAAACAATCCAATTACTCAAGATCCCAATTATCTTTTGTTTGTTAGTTTTTTTTATTTATTTTTATTAAATCTATCTTTTTGAGGAGTATAATATTTCATTTTGTTTTAGGATACAGATAGTATTCTACTTCTCTCTTTTCTATTCAACCAGTTCTGCTGTACTTAAAGAATATATTTCCCACCTCTTTAGCCAAATTAGAACATATTTTAAAAAAATACGTCTTTTAGATCAAAAACCATTAGGAACTGCATTCCAGTTCCCTATTAGTATTAGTAATAATCTCCCAAGTATTGAAATTGGATATTTTGCTTCATTTGATATTTATTCTTATACAAATGGATTTTTAACTCAATACTTTGAATTGCTCGATAAGAATCCTGGTGATCTTATTCGTTTCTATAGCCCTTCATCAATATTTTCATTGACATTATCTGATGGTGTAGCTACATTCCTTTCTACTTCAAATAGAAATCATGCAAATCAATTTGCTCAAAATGAATATGTGTCAAGACTATATATAGGTCCTAAAATTGCTCCATTATTTGTTAATAAATTTGAACACTGTACACATAAAATGAATAATATTGCTTTTGATGTTTGCCAAATACAAATTCCACCACTCTTCCCAACTGTATTAAATATTACTGCTTTTGGAAAATGTGAATTGAACTCAAGAGAAATGAATTTTTATAGAACGTTCATTCTTACTCCAGATAACATCATTATTAATGAACACCTTCATCTCTTTAAAGGAGATATTCCTTTTGTTGTTGTTCAACAAACAAAGGATGCTATTGATGCAATTAATAATGTTAGTAATCTTACTAAATTATCAGTAGCTGAGGTGTTACCATTCCTTAAATCTACAAATTATGATTCTAAGATGGCAGTAGTAAGAATGACACTCGTTTTAAAAGTCATGGGTTCTAATTTCACTAAAGAACAAGCAGGTTTTATTTGTGAAAAATTACAATGGAATGAACAATATATTGGTCAAGGTATAAGTCAATATGGCTCAGAATTATTTAACAAATTACAACAAATTTAAATTGATTTTTTCTTAGTTTATTTCATTTAATTTTATTCTTCTGTCATTGCTTTAATAGCAAGTTTAGTTGCAACACTTAGACTTGAGCATGATAACATAAAGCCACTATGATGACAAAACAATGCACCTTTTTCTCCACAAGCTTCTTCTAATTCTTCATTTTCTTTACCTCTCCATGATTTAGGTAAACTTTTACGGTTAACAAATTGAGTTTCATTAATCGAAAAAATAAAATATCCTTTTGGAGAGTGTCTAATAAAGAACAAAAAGTTTCCTTCACATTTTAGCTCTTTCTCTACTTGAATTATTAAATTACTTTTTACTGGTTTATCAAAAAGCAAAATTCTTTTATCAAGACCTTGCTTTTCTAATGAACTTTTAGCATTTCGCATTACTGGATGATATAAAACTGCTGTTTCTATTGCTAAATTCATTGTTGAATTAAAAGTTTTATATTCATTTGTCACAATTAATTTAATATCATCAATTGAATTACAATAATCAGATGTGATATAAATCCCATCTGTTAATGGTTCATATTTTGTTGGACTATTATAACATAAAACACCATTCAGAATAGCATCTATTGATTCTAACCGATTAAGATAATAAAATTTACAAGCTAACCGAATGATTTCATCTGTTACTTTTATTGAGTTACCTTTAGGATCAATGTATTTCAAACAACAAGAATGTACAATCTCTTTTCCAAATTTAAGGAATACCATTGATGAACATGTCATTAGATATGATGAACCTGGATATTTTTTATTAAATCCTTTTTGATGATAGTCAAATAAATTTAATGATGGATCATATTGTCCGCCATATCCAAGAACAATATCACACTCTTTCATTTCCTCTTTTGAATGTAATAGTTTAATTGAAGACCGTTTAAATTGACTAACATTTTTTAATAAAGTTAATGAAAGAATTACATCAAATTCGAATCCAAAACCACTTACTCCAATAACACTATCTTCAATGAATCTTTTATTTTCGTTACGTGGATAAGTTGTTTTTTTAGTACCTTTTTTTGAGGGTCGATGTGGTTTTGATATTCTTTTTGACATGATTTTCTTTTAAAGTTTTTTTTTAAATTTAAAAAAAGAAAAACTAAAAATAATATATTTAAGCATCACCAAAATGAGCATAGAACATAGGGAAATTGACACTTTAAATAATAATACCAATGATGAAACAAATGATGGATATGAAAATGAAAAACCTACAAAACGTTCTTTTATTATTAAAGCAAATTCAATAACAGGAAAACCAACAAAAAACCTTGAATTCAATAATGTTGACTTGTCTCAATCACGAATTAGTGATGTAAAAAAAGCAATTCAAAGAGTCCATTCTCTTCATCCAAAAATTTCTTACATTGAAATTAGAAAAGAAGATGACCCAAATCAAACTCCTATTAATGACAATACTTATTTATATACTCTTGGAGATTTTGAATATCTTTATGCTACATTTACAACTCCTTTAAGCATTAATGAAAAGTTGAAAAATTATTATAATAACTATTTAAAAGATAAGTTGAAATTTATTAATAAATACTTCATCAATTATACTGTATTTGGATTAACACTTCTTTGGTTTATAGTTGCAACTAGTAATTTTAGAAAGGTTCTATTTGGAATATTATTTTTATTACATTATTTGTTTGTTTTTATTTATTTTATATTATTACTCTTTCATTATTCATTTCATATATTAGATGCTTAAAAAAAATTATTACAATTCATTTCACTTTTGACCGTCAACACAGCTCTAGAATGAAACCTTTACTTACTTTCTTTTTATCATTATATCCTTATTGGAACCCTTATGACCCTCAACACAATACTATTATTGATGAAACAGAGACTAATAAAACAGAACAACAAAACCATCAAGAAATTGATCCTAATGTTCATATTATAAATGATAATAATGAAAATGAAATTAATGACATGAATAATAATTTTATACCTGAAAATGAAAATAATGAAAATATTAATCAAGAACAAGAAGAGACTGATGATCTGCTTGTAGCTCAAAATTAAAACTTCTAATACTTTATTCTGTCTAAGAATTATAAAGTCAAATTAATTTTTTGTTATTCTTTTGTTGTAATTTGAAACGATTAATTCAAAAAAAAAATAAATTTAAACTAACAATGATAGTAATTAATAGATTCATAATTAAGAAAATATTTGAAAAATAAACCTACTCTCTTTTGTATTAAGTATTAAATGAAGATAAATTAAATATTAATACTCTCAATGATTAAATTTATGGAGGAAGTACATTAGAGAATAATAACGCTAATAAAGAATATAAAGTTATGTCAAAAAAGAATAAAAAAAATATACTTTCTATTATTAAATTACTCAACTTAATAGTTTGACATAATATAATATGTAAATATTGTGAAATTTTTATATATTTGCAAATCAAAAAAAAATTTATTTGTAATGAATAATGATGTACTTATTTCAATTTTTTTTATTTACTCAAAGTATTAAAAGTAACTAATTACTTGAAAAACAAATTGTAATATAAAAAATCATCCATGTAAAATACAATTTAATGATTACTTAAATGCCATAGTCCAATTGTTTTAGTATAATAATTATAATTTGATTAAATTTTTACTCTTTTTTAATTAGTATTAAATAAAACTACTTTATAGAGATAAAAAAAAACAAATACACTATCAAATTGTAGTATTATTCAAAAACAATAGTACAGATATTATTAACCAAACAATACAAGTAGTGTTATGAACAAAAAATCACATATCAGTGATATAAACATAAAATATATATAATAAGTGTAGATGAAAGTGTAAGAAGTGTAATTATAAACTACATTATAAAAAATACATTATTTTATAAATTAAATACAATAATAAATAAGTGTCTTAGCAGTAAACAAAATAATTACTATTTTAAATAAACCCAATAATTAACAAAAAGAATTTTCATTAACAAATTATTATTCATATAACGGTGCTGTTTTTAATAAGACAAAAAAAACCAATAAGTGTCTGATATACTACTACTTCTATAATTAAATAATGTTTATATCCTTAATACTGAGTTTAGTAAAAAACTGATATATCAATTTAACACAATTATTATTTCAATACACAAAACTTACAAATCTTATGCAATTACAGTTTTTTCTCAATAGAAGTAATAAAACACTCAAAAGAAAAAATAACATCACTGTTTTACTCTATTAGTTTTATGTTAATTCTTTTTTTTTATATTTTTTTACAATTTAAACATAAAGCTATTTCTTTTTATTAAAAAATAATAAGTAGTATTGTTACATAAAACTTAGTGTTAGTCCAAATATTTTTATTTGAATTTTAGGTATAAAGTTATTTGATGATACTTTAACGTTAGTCATTTTGTTTATACTATCAGAGACATAACATAAGAAAATAGTTTTTTTACAAGTGAAATTCATTATCAACATTCTCCTTGCTCAATTCGTTAATAGCGAGACAATTTTACTATAACTCAAGAATAAAAGAAAATGAGTTTCAATAGATATTAAAATAAATATAACTTTTTAATATTTTTAAATTTTCAAAAAAGAAATAACTTTATATTTTATAAGTAAATATTTTTCTTTAAAATATAATAAAAAACTAAGTAATAATAACACATTACCAAAATCTTCACTTTAACGAAATTAAGAAACG